CACCCCAAGTCCACTGTCTCCAAGCCAGCACAGCCACAGAAATTGACCACAGACTGCAGCCCTTGTGGCCTGATTGCTTTATGAATTTTATCCAGGCCCCAGGCTGCTTTTTGTCTGCTGCTGGTGAGGCTAGTGGGAACTCAGGCTTCAGGGCAGAGGATTTCCCTCTGGCCAGGCTGGTCAAAATGATCCCTCCATGGGCACCATCACAATTCTGCCCTGTGCTGTGGTTCCCTGTGCCAGAAGCCCTGAGTTTCAATTCAAAGCCCCACAATCACTTCACTCTCCCTGTAGCAGGCACACAGATTCTCTACTCCACAGGCTGGAATAGCACTCCCAGCAGATGGGGGAGGGGTGGCATAGGCAATTCAAGACTGTCCTTTTTGCTCTCTTCAATGCCTCTTTCCTGACATAATGTTAAAACCAGGTAGTACAATTGTTCACATGATTTTTGGTTCTTCTGAAGGTGCTTCCTTTCATGGACAATTGTTGAATTAGGTGTTCTTGCAGAGGGACGATCACTGGAGGTTTCTATTTGGCCTTGTTGTTTTGCCCTCTGATAGTATGGTATTGAAAGAAAAAACCCCACCAACCTAAATTCTATGTCCAGTGAAATTAGCCTTCAAAAAGTGAATGAGAAATGAAGACCCTGTCAAACAAAATTGAGAATATTGGTCACTAGTAGACTTGCTTTGCAAAAAAATGTTAAGTCCTTCACAGAGAAGGAAAATGATATAGGTAATAAATTTAGATCTAGAAAGATACAAAATTACCACTGGAGAAGGAATACATAAAGGTAATTATTTTTTTTTTACGTTTTTCATTCTTAATTGATGTAATAGATAATAACTTGTTGAAAATAATGATATCAACAATGTATTTGGTAATTATAGTTTATGGATAAGTGGAATTAATGATAACAATGTTATAAGGGATGGGAGGGATAGATTGGGATTATTCTGTTGTAAGGTACTTACACTGCCTTTGAAGTTTATGGTGTTATTTGAAAGTGGATTTTAATTAGCTATAAATGTATATTTCAAACTGTAGGGAAACCAATAAAAAAGTTTAAAAAAAGTATAATTGATATGTTAAGAGAGAGAAAAAATGGGTCAATATAAAATGTTCAATTAAAACCAAAGAGGAAGGCAAAAAAGAAACAAAAAACAAGAGCAATGAATGAAAAATAGTAGTAAATAGGGTAGCTATTAATCCAACTACATATATAATGACTTTAAGTACCAATGGTCTAAATGCACCAGTTAAAAGATAGACTGTCAAAGTCAGTAAAAAAAACAAGATCCAACTATATGTAGCCTACAAGAAACCCACTTTTACTAAAAATACACAGACAAATTTAATGTAACGGAGTAAAAAAGGTATATTATGCTAACACTAATCAAGAAGAGGTTGTAGTAGTTATAATAATTTCAGACAATGAAGAATTTACAGCATAGAAAATTATCAGGGATTAAGAGGGGCAGTACATAATGATAAAGAGTATCATTCTATAGCAATCCTTAATATATATACACCTAACAACGCAGAGTGTCAAAATCCATGAAGCAAATGCTGTTATAACTGCAAAGAGAAAGAGACAAATCCTTATTATAATTGGAGACTTCAACACTTCTCTATCAGTAATGGACAGAACCATCAGGCAGAAAATCAGTAAGAACACAGTTGAATTGAACAGCACCATCAATCAACTGGATCTAATTGACATTTATAGAATACTTCATCCAACAACAGCAGAATACATGTTCTTCTCAAGAAAATATTCATCAAGATAGACCACATTTATGGAGTGTAAAGCACACCTTGATAAAACTAAGAAAAAAGAAATAATATTTCTCCCAAACACAATGGAATTAAACTAAAAATCAATAACAGAAAGACAACTGGAGAACATCAAAATACACAGAGATTAAAAAATATACTCCTAAATAACACGTAAGTCAAAGAAAGAGTCTCAAGAGAAATTGAAAAATATTTTTAACTAAGTGAAAATAAAAATTATCAAAATTTATGGAATGTATTGAAAGTAGTTCTTGGGGGAATTTATAACATTGAATGCATACATTAGAAAAGAAGAAAGATATAAAATCAATATCGTAAGTTTCCATGTTAGGAAAGTAGAAAAAGAAGAGCAATTAAATCTAAAGTAAACAGAAGAAAATAAATAATAAAAATTAGAGCCAAAAATCAATGAAATTGGAAACAGGAAATCAATAAAGAAAATCAACAAAACCAAAAGTTGGTTCTCTGAAAAGACTGATAAAATTGATAAACCTCTAGCCAGGTTAAGAAAGAAAAGAAAAAGACACAAATTATTAATATCAGAAATAAAAGAAGGGTCATCAACAATAATCTCATAGATATTAAAAAGATAATGAAGGGATATTATGAACAACTGTATATCTCAAAATATGATAACCTAAAGGAACTGAACCAACTCCTTGAAAGCCAAAATCTACCAAAACTCACACAAGGAAAAATCTGTAATACAAATAGGTCTGAATCCATGCCCTAGATCTTTGTGGTAGGACAAAATTAAGAGTAATGACCCAGGGTATCTGGTGGAAGAGATTTCTAAGCAACAAAGCATTCAAGAAATAAGAAGTGACATGGT